CCAGGAACGCGTTGCAGTTGCTGGGAGCGCGATTAAAGATGGACGTTTTCACAGTATTGACACGCGGTCGCGCCAGGGAACTCGCGAACATACTCTGATGCCTAAGCAGACGAACAGGTACTGAGAGAGGGAACACATCGAGAAGGAACGATGAACGTATCCTCTGGCGATGTATGTCCCTGATGAAGAGAATATCAAAACGCTGGATCCTAGCTGTCACAGTGTCCACTCCGAAGTGCTTAACTAAGTCTCGGTACCCTAAAGAAACACCAGTCACCCGACAGCGAGCACAGAGCCAGACAAGAAACTTTTCCTGCACACGTTCAATTCTCTGGATGTGTGACACCGCTGCTCCTCCCCACACCACACTGCCATACTCAAGGATGGAGCGAACGTTTGCAAAGTACGTCGATAACAGAGCGCGCTGGTGCCCGGTTTTGAATGGCTTGCCTTTCTTCCCTGTCTGGAGCGTACGCATTAGTAGCCCAAGCGCTCGGTTGGCCTTGCGGACAGTATAGTCTACATGCTCTCCAAATGTGAGCTTCTGGTCCAGCAACACACCTAGGTCACGCATGACTTGGACACGTTCTAACAATGTTCCTCCGACCACATAACTCGCGGCCACCGGGGCGCGTCTCAGCGTCAGTGTCAACACTTTACATTTAGCAGGGTTGAGATTGAGCCCCCACTTCTCCGACCAATTACACAACTTGTCCAGCTCGGTTTGAACGTGAGACACATCGGACATCGAATCTATACGTCTGTAAATTTTGACATCGTCAGCGAACATCAGCGTTTCTATATCCAGGACTAAAGGCAGTTCGTTCACAAAGCACGAAAAAAGTAAAGGTGAGATCAGTCCGCCTTCAGGGGTGCCTGACGTCACTGGCACCCACTCGGAGCACTTGCCCGCGACCACCACCCTCTGCTCTCTCCCAGACAGATAGGAGCCAATCCAGTCAAAAGCTTTACCCGAAATATGGTAAGAATTTTTTAACTTGTGAAGAAGCAGGCTGTGATTTACGCTTTGAAAGGCCGAACTATAATCTGTGTAAATGACGTCTGTCTGGGATCCTGCAGAGATGTTGGTCCAGGCCGTGTGCAGCATGGTACAAAGGTTAGTAGCACACGAGCGGCCAGGCATGAAGCCGTGCTGCACATCGGAGATAACCGGCTTCACATGGTTGAACAGCTGGAGAAAAACAATCCGCTCGAGAACCTTGCCAAATATAGGCAACAATGACACAGACCGATAATTGCCAGCATCCGCTTTTGAACCCTTCTTATGAATCGGGACGATATTTGCACGTTTCCATGACCTGGGGAAAATCCCCTGCTCCAGTGACAGTTTACAGAGTTTGGTGATAGGCACAGCCAGCTCTATCGCACATTCTCTGATCACCCTCGCACTAATATTGTCGGGCCCGCAGGCCTTCTGCGGGCTGAGGTCACGGAGAATATTGTACACGGCCTGCTCAGTCACCTGAAAGTTATGCAGAGGGTCTAAGTCATACTCCGGAGCAGGCGGAACCACCGTGACAGCTGGATTACTGAATTTGGAGGCGAATGTACGATTTAACAGGTCGGCTTTTTCACGATCATCTGTCACCTTTCTACCACCATCAATAAGATGTGACAGCTGTCCACTCCTACCCTTCATGCACTTGACGAATGACCAAAATCGCTTTGGGTTTGTGTTCAGATCATCTATCATGCCGTTAAGATAGGTACTCATAAAATCTCTCACTCGACAAACGTTTAAAAACACGACGTTTTTCCCGGAATAGCTCGCGGCTGTCAACCGTTCCCGCCGTCTTCATTCGCCGGTGAGCCACCTCCTTCTCTCGCAGCGCCGCGCGCAGCTCCTGGTCGAACCACGGCGGCTGTCGGCGTTTGAACTGCACCAGCGGTATGTAGTCGCGGATGGCGGCCGACAGCAGGTCGTACAGCACCTCCGTGGCGTCGTCGACCGGCAGTCCGTCCAGCATGCTCCACGGCGCGAGTTGCAGCGCCGCCCGGAGTCCCGCCCAGTCCGCGCGATATACATCGATCTGGGATGTTCTGAGGACCCGTTCGTTACTCTACGCCGGAGGGTCGGTTCGGTTCCTTTTGATAGGGTTGCGGTGGCCCACTGGAACATTCAGGGGACGTCTGGTAGCCCTGTTGTCCACCAGTGCGACACTGCGGCCTCCCGAAGTGGCTTTGTGAGGCCCCACCATACCTGTAGAGGCCCCGGTGGCCCCCAGAACGGCCATGCAAATTCACGCCCTGCCTCTGGGGGCTCTGCTGTCCCCCCGCGCGACCCAAAAAATTATCGTCTTTTCTCTGGGGGCCCTGTTGTCCTCCAGAATCTGTGTGCGTACCTTGCCTCTGGAGGCCCTGTTGTCCCCCAGGGCGTCCCTTCGATTTCAAATCCGGCGTCTGGGGGCAATATTGTCCCTCAGAGCGACCATTCGCGTTCTGGTGGCCCTGTTGTCCCCCAGTGCCACCCTGCGGCCTCCCAGAGCGGCCCTGTAAGTTCACGCCCTGCCTCTGGGGCCCTGCTGTCCCCCAGAGCGACCCTTCAAGTGCACGACTTGTTTCTGGGCCCTGTTGTCCCACCAGGTAAGCGTTGGGGCTACATTAGTGGAAGGGATGGCTTTTGTCGAGTGACAGCTGTCTGGCGCGGGGTCGTCGAGGCACTGCGTCATTCATGTGCGCGGTGGGTGGTCGTGTTGCCTCTGGGGGTCGCCGGCGTTATGCGCGTGGTGGTTGGCCGGCTTGCCCGAGATGAATAGGTGGGGGGAATCGGTGTTTCGGGAAGGTAATAGATGGCGCACTGATTTCCCCCGTTTTTCTTGGCGTTTCGGGCTGGCCGATCGCTTCGGGCGTAGGATGCTGGCGTTTTGGGGGCGATGCGGCCGTCCGCCGTGCGCATGGCGCCTGTTGGGTTCTGGTGATTTTGCGCCTGGTGGTTTGCTCTGCGGTGGTGGCCGGTTTGTCTGTGGGTGTACTCCCATGCTTGCTCACAATATATATGCACGGATCACCTAACGGATCGGCAACTCTCCCCGATTCCCTTTGTTATCGGTGTACCCGCGGAGCGGGCTGCCATCTAGCGGCGCGGATATCTTCACTAAGGAGGGGAGCCGGCCGCCCGCCGCAACCAGTGTTAAAAGGCACGGGGAAACGGGTGTGAACGCAACACCCGTCCGTCGTTTCCATCCTCAGGATGTTCAGATCAAGTTCAAATCCTTCTCCTCCACGCAGCAACTCTTGATCCGGGCTGGACAGGCAACTTTATCTCATGCGGGCTGCTCCCTTGAAGCGCACCACTGCTCCCATGGGAGCACACCCGTAGCCGGGTGCAGAGAGTGCTTGGGGGGCTGGTCGGCCTGTCCATTCGGACGGGCTCAGCCCCGGTGACTCTCTAGGGTGCCTGTCCATACCAATGTTTACCCCAATTCCTATAATCCTTCCGGCTCTGCAATGGTCTCAATGGACCGAAAGGGCCTAACCCAACAAAACAAAAACAAACAAAGGTTAAGAACGGATTAAATTACGGAGTCTCTCTAACAGCTGGAATGTTACCATAACATGGAAATGTTACATACTTTATTCCCTAATCAGCTGGAGCATGCATAATGATCCAAATGTTTCTAGTTATGCTTGAGTTGTATGAGCAAGAAGCACGTCCTTGCAACTTTAACGTCGCTTTTGGCCGTAGGTACACGAAGACCTTTCCTCATCCGTCTGCCCATAGTACGAGTTCATCCCCTGTTCCTATCTAGACGGTCACCGGCTACCAGTTGGAGTAGATAACATCGGAGCAAATCCAACGAGCTGGCCATTAACGAGACTATAGGTGGACCTCGGCCCCTGTTTCACGATACGACCCTCCCCGCCGCTACAGGGTATCGACACTTAGCCGGTTTTCATTAAGACGTTGGCAACATTGTGAAGTTTGCTTACGTTTCCATAGGGACGGAGGCACCCATACCTGATGATGTTAGGTACTGGGTAGCAGCGTGCCGCTAAACAGTGACTATAGCTTTGGCCCCGAGGCTGGTTTAGCCACGTGTTACATCTCAAGATATCTGTGGCTTAGAGCCAGGTCAGGTCATTTTGCACCCTATATATTGCCTCATATTCAACATTCTCTCTCTATATATAATAATATATATAATACTAATAATAAGTCAATAAGAGCAAATTGAAAGGCGTCTCATTTGGTCTGGACGGGTCATTCTTAACACCCTCAAACATCGGGTTACATGTTAACAGTGGCATGAAAACGGTCAACAGCAGTTTTTTTTTTACTATAACTTTTGACACACGTGCTAGAGCGATGAAAACACGTCAGATGTGTTCAGCTCGACGATACGGATCGACTGATATGCAGCATGACCCTTTCCGGTCAGGTCATGACCTTGGCCTGACGTAAAATTTTCAAAATGGCCTTCCAAGGTCAACCTACGAGTATAGTTCATTCGACGCGTCTCGACGAGAGGAACACGATGCTCGCAAAAGTAATGTCGTGGCTCGTTTAAGTCAAAAGTTATTACCGAAAAAAAAAGTTTTTCGTAAACACGCCTCTTTTGGAGTTTTTGCCCTCTGGAGGCTACACCGTTGACCTGAGTTCAAATCTATGAATAAAACTCAGAAAGACCTGTGAAAGAGCTATCGAATGCGCTTTTCCGCGGCGCTGTAGTTCTATTGGTTCTCAAGTTATGCGTCGGGTGTTTCGAAAACTGTTGAAATGGACAAAATTTGCCTTTAATGACCTCTGGTAACCTGACCTTTGACCTGACCTAAAAAATGACTGAAGTATTTCCGCCATTATTTTTACGCTCTTTGGAATGCCGCTTACCCCGTGTGGCTACGTGGCCCAGAAGCCGAGTTGGGGGGGGGGGACGGGCGGGGGTTTCATACACCCTCGACCCGGCGCGGTTGGTACCGTGTACCGGCCCGGCGTGGGTTTTTACTTTGTGCAAGTATATTTGTGAAAGTTACAGGTTTAATTTAATCGGCAGATGAATATTTATCAAAAATATACTCATGAAATATATGTAAGAGATGACAGCGATCGGAAAATTACCCATTTCACGATGGACGCTAGGTCGCCCACGTGGGTATGAAAACAACGATTTTCATGACAAAGGATACAATCTCAAATACTTAACCTGTCTCTAACGATTCTTGCCATTCTCATTTATACCATAGGTATCTTCTAAGCTAACTGAGAAACCATGTTCCGCAGAAAAATCACTTAATTAGCTCCGACACGACGCCCTCAACACGCACGAGGCCGGCCGCTTCCTTAGTGAAGATAGTTCACTTAAATGCCCACCAGGTGGCAGGGGAGACAGGTCGCGGGGGGGAGTTGCCGATCCGTTATGTGATCCGTGATATATGTATAGCCTGGATTAGTGTTATGGCGCATTCTCTCTGGTGGGGGAGTGCGGTAGCTGATGCACTAGTCTCGTGCCATGAAGGGGGCTGGAAAATGCACGGTTAGTCTGAAAGCATTAACCGATTTTTCCACACCCTGAATTCGGCTGGCCGCCCGTGCCCTCCAGTTGACTCATAGGTCCGGCCGGTGGGCTGACCAATCATGCCTCGAGCGATGGCTCGACCGATCAGCTGTTGCGGCGGCTGCACTGGCCCGGCAGTCGGCCGTGGCGCGCATGCGGGTTCACTTCCACGTGTTGGCTCACAATATATTGCTCATGACTGTTGTCTTGCCTGATGTTCTTGAATTTCGCCAGCAATGTTGTATGCTGTGCTGGACCCATTTTGCTCAGTCGCCAATTTGGCATGTTTTCATTTGCTTGTGATGAATTGTCTTTTTGCAGTCTGCGGGGTTCTGTGTACTGTGTTCACTTATATGGCGTGCATAAGTGCGGCGGTGGTGGCGCAGGATACGCGGTCAATCTCAGTTTGACAACCATGGCGCACTGATTTCCCCCGTTTTTCTTGGCGTTTCGGGCTGGCCGATCGCTTCGGGCGTAGGATGCTGGCGTTTTGGGGGCGATGCGGCCGTCCGCCGTGCGCGTGGCGCCTGTTGGGTTTTGGTGATTTTGCGCCTGGTGGTTTGCTCTGCGGTGGTGGCCGGTTTGTTTGTGGGTGTACTCCCATGTTTGCTCACAACATATGTACACAGCCTGGATTGATGACCTGATCGGGAGAGGTCGAGACGGATTTAAACCCAGCTCAATGTTGCAGCCTGACCACAAATAACATGATATACCAAAACCAATCTAGCACCACATGCTTACATCATGCTATTGCCCATTCATTTCCTATTCGATCGAAACAAGCATAACAGTCACAGGCCCACCATATTATATCACCGCGGCCACCGGCCTCTCACCACGCACAAGACACGCGACTGCAACCTCGAGCATACGGCACCTTCCCGGTCGAGATGGCGCCTCACCACTCTCACTAGATGCTGTCCCTGGACTCTGCTACCCCTCCCAGTTCCCGGCCTGCGCGGTCCTTCTCTCGGCTCCTCTGGCCGCGGTCCTCCATCACCTCAGCGCCACCCAGTTGTCGGCGCCGGCCAGCTGAATCTCCAGCAGCGGCGCGTGCCGGTCGCCCATGGTCATGTGCGTCTGCTGTTCGGGCGCCAGCACCGTGCCGCCGGCCAGGTAGGCGCCCCAGAAGCCGTACGTGCCCACCGTCACCACAGAGTGGTTGCAGGCCGCCAGCAGCGCCATGTCGCGGCCCGGGTCCTCCAGGTTCCGGTTGCCGGCTAGTACGATGTCTTTGCTCTCACGCACGTGTAGCTGCTTGGCTACATAGTCGAGCTCGTCGGAACAGACGATGAAGAGCGCGTCGGCGTAGCGGCGCCGGTAGAAGTCGAGCGCGCGACTGAGGTATGCCTCGTCGGGCAGCGCGCCCTTGTACTTGGTTTCAATGTATGCGCGGTAGTCGGTACGGCGCACATGCACGCCGATGAAGGTGACGGTGCTGCGCTTGCCACGCGCGTAGTGAAGGAACGTCTGCGCTTGCTGCTGCAGCCGCGCAGAGAACTCAAACTCTCGGCGCAGCTCCTCGTAGAACGGGTGAAAGAGGTCGATGCCGTTTCGGTCCGGGTAGATGGTAATCAGATAATGCTGCGGCTCAGAGTGGTGTTCTCCCGGATCGCACTCGAGATACTTGCCGGCGTCCTGGTAGGATATGTTGTGCCGCTGAACCCCCGTGGGAAGCCGCGACGTGGGCGGCAGCGACAGGCCAGGGAAGTAGCGCGTCAGCTTGGTCAGCATCTTATCGTCCACATACCCGGCAGCGCCGTAGATTCTGCTGTAGCTGTAGATGATGGCGTACAGGCCCATCAGGTTGCCTAGCCGGCCGATCGGCAGGTAGGAGACCGTTTTATTGCAGCCGGCCGGGGTGGCTGGCGGCGGTGACGGCTTCTCCAGCTGGAGGCAGGCCCAGCGCAGGACGTGCTGGACGTTGGCAGGCACGTCCGACGAGTCCACATGGCCGTGCAGCGGAGGACACAGTCGCAGTAGCACGTCACTCACAGAGGTCGGGCCCTCGCCGGCCTGCTGTTCCTCCTCTGTCCCTCCTCTCTGTTCCGTGGACACCCAGCGCGGATGCTGTCGATGCGCTGACTGCATCAACAAGACGCACGTCAACACCAGAGTCAGCGCGGCGGTCAGGCGGCGCAGACCCTGACGGCCGCCGAGCACAGGCATCGCCCGATCCGTCACGGGGCGCCGTTCACCGCTCACTGTCCACATACGACCCAAACGGAGCAGTCGCACGCACGGGCCACCCTGCCGAGCACCGGAGCATGTCGGGCAGAGCAGTCACAGGGTCTCCTGCTCGGCCCCGACCGCGCACTGCTGCCGGCCGGACGCTCCGCCGCACACTGCCACGGTCGGCTGGAAGTGGCTCCCACGACTGACACCGTGCACCGGCGCCCGGCAAGGGTGCCGTCCCACACACCGGCACACGAGCGAACCACGGCGAGACGGTCCCGTTACCGACGGCACGTGTGCGGTCGGGCGACGTGACCAAACACCGAGCGTAACGTAACGTCAGCTGAGGGATCTGACCCCGCATTTCTGCAACGTCTTTTAAATAGTTTGAGTCTAGCTGCTTGATACTGTATCTTATAATACAGCAATTTTATGTCTTCCCACAATCATCGTCATCCGCTAAGAACTTTCAGATGATAACGGTTTATTGATATCATACTCATGACGCACCATCCAGCTTTAACACCGAAACTGGCAAACTTCTAGCACATGAAGTTTCGAAGAGACAAGGCCTAACAAAAAGGATGTAGGCGACTTTTTGCCTTTCAAATGGCTATGTGCATTTTTGTGTAAAATTTTTGGCTTTGCGCAAAACTTTTCAAAACTGATGCTTTTGCAACCAAATAACTAAAGTTCGCTTTTTTCTTGTCAAGACCACAACCAAGTGAACACTTCAAACCCTTACGGCATCACCTTCCATCTCCGACACGCTAGCACAGCGCTATTTCCGTGTAGTGTGTATTGACGGTCAGTTATGAGTCACAGCAGCCCGGCGATCCCAACAGCCGTCCGGTGCCGACCCAGCGGCCGGTCTCTGCCGGTCAGAGGCTGGACGGTAGGAGCCGACACCGCGGGCGCGGACACGAAAACGGTGGGTCAACACGGCCAGTGTGAACAAACCTCCCGCCCTGGTGGCAGCACATCGGGTGACGTTCAGAGATGGTCGACAAGATTGTCCGCTTTTGAATTGATGTTCAGATCTCACCCGCCGATACACGAGCTTAAAGGGACAGTATCATCGAAAAAAAAGTCCATGTATGGAGCTGATTTTTTTTTTACTAGCATTTCTTATTTTTCTGAATCAGAAAAACATAGTTTGAGGACCGAACTCGGTGAAAAATATTGCAACCACATTTCATTTTCATGATTCATTTTCATGAGCGAACCACCACTATACAAGCATGGCCGCCAGTTTGGAAGCATGCAAAATTACTACAGAACTGGCGCAGATAATACATTATTGACGCTACGCTTACGCGGTCGTTCTTCTGATTGAGTTGTCCTTAGGGAGAGGTAGCCTTAGGTATTGCCTATAAAAATATAACGTGACAATTGGAGGGAGTGACAATTGGACGTGACAATTGACAATGGGAGAAAATATCACGTGACAATCACGTGATAAACGTCATACATTGGAGGGAGATTGTGATTCAAGCTGGAGGAATTCCTTTGTTGAGCCGCTAGAATCCGAAGGAAACAGCGGAAATTGCCTACGACTATTTAATGAATTTAACGGTGATGAATAAGTGCGAAAAACGTTTTGGCTTTATAAAATTTGATGAAATGACCAGGGTAAAAGTTTTATTACTGGCGGTCAATTCAAAACGGCGCAAACATTTAAACAGTGAAGATAGTGAAGCACGATTCAAAGTGTGGTACACCTTTCGTACTTTGAGCGGCGATAGCGGGATAACGGTGTGGAGCTTCGAGGATCGGTCTTCAGTTCCCGGACCAGAAAGGTGGGGCCTATGCAATGTCAAATTTCATCAAAATGGTGATACTGTCCCTTTAACCGCTGATTGCACTCACATTTGAAGGCGCCATACTGTCATACCAAATGCATATTTACTTAGCTTTTGTCTGAACAGACACTCTGAAGGTCTGTTAGGGGTTTTTTATTATAAATATCTATCATAAGATCTTAAAAGAATTTGGACCCGATGTACATACCACCACCAGGTAATAGACAGGTGGTTGACACCTGGACTTGATTCACCAGCCAATCGCGCACTGAATAAAATGGGGTTTAAATATCATTTCAGCATCCGCACGTCACACACGCTCTGAGATAGATGAACACACGCTAAAATATGTACGGGTCGAGCTAGTCGCATTGTCCGTGGCGCACCAGAGTAAAATGAGTGCGCGCATTTCATAACACAGTGTACCATAGTAACACAGAAGCACCAGCGGTCACCGGTTGTAGCCAGACTGCTTCGAAACTCGCCAGCTGGGTCTCTCGGCGAGCGTCACACATTATTTAATCAGGTTGTACGACATAAACTTTGAGCTCGTTGATTTCTACAATTTATCTAAAATACGAGCTTTGCGACATGATTCACATTCACTTACAAAATGGCAACACACATCTGCATTTTTCGCAGAGCTACCATCTTCCAACTGGCAAACTATATGTAGAACTACTAAACCTTGTCCTAAAAATAAACCGGGTAGTATAACCACACCCCACCGATGTCAAATAACCAGCATCGGACAAAGACACACTGGAATATTGTCACTAAACACCACACTATCCCTGCCCTAAAGTCACGTTCACACGGCTGTTATCTACAGCCCGGCTCGGGGAGCTCTGTCCACACCGTGCCGACCACATCAGGTACTGCCGCACGGACTAGATAGCGTTTGAAAGACGCCCGAGCACGCAGGCCACAGACCAGGGCACAGCACATATACACTGGCGAGCACAGCATACCAGAAGCCACTCACGAGCACAGCACGCGGCAGACCGCCAGTACCGAGCATCGCCGTCCCGAATCGGCCACGATTGTCACTCATGCAGGCCAGTTCATCCGCTTTCAGTGTGCAGGGAGCTCAGCTTCTCCCTCTCCCTCACTTTCTCACACACATACACTGCGCACACTGTAGCTCTCCGTACTTGGTTGTCAAGCAGGGTACCCAGGGGCGCATCACCTGCTGAATCGACAGTATCTTTGAGGTAATGCATGGTACTTCAAAGGTCCTCACTCACTCAGCCTATTCAATGAGGCAGCATATATGTCATGGGCAGCGATTGGGAGAAAAAAGATCAAACACTTTTAGAAGACGCTGAAGGCACGGCATGATAGCGCACGATCGAGTAAGATTGACTTGCTGATATCAGGGTGCGTCAAATCTAGTCAGCCTCGGCGCACCAATGGCTCCCTGCAGTGATCCGATTGAGCACTTCGAACAGGTGGCAAGATGTCCTGTCTCTGAGTCTAGCTTTCCGTGACGCTTTTCTCAGATCAACCGAGCTCTTCTCTAAGTGGGTGGCTGCTTCCCATCAAAGCCGGCACCATAACAGCTCGCGAGCGGGCACCGATACCAACCCAGCCGGCCTGAACACTTCCCCGTCCGCAGCCGACGCCGACGGCAGAGCCATTTCGCCGGCACACCGTCCCGTCGCCTCGCCGGTCTCAGAGCAGTCGCGACGACACCATCCCGTCACAAAGGCACACCGCAGAGTGGTGTCGCTGCTATCCAACCCGCCGGGTGGCGCTGTCTCCTCGAGGTGTCCTAACTCTGACACAGATGTCTCCCTGGGGTGTCCCAGCCCTGCGACAGTCAGGGCCGACTGTGTCTGGAGACAGGCGGCGTCCCTCCCTCTCGCATCGTCCTGAGAGGCCCCTACTCTCACCTAACACTAGGCCAGTCGTCGCCTTCATCAGAGCGGCTGGTAGCCGGAGACGGACTCGGTGATGGCCGCCGTAACCGAGGCGTCGTCAACTGCCGAGCGCCGGTAGACTGATTTGGTGCGCAACATCAGCACGATGGGTATGGCCGTGGCCACCACCAGGCAGTAGTTGAGCCACACTGTCTGCTCGGCTGAGGAGGCGCGCACGGGGGAGGGCAGTTAGACAGCAGTTGGCGGAGAGACGGAGACGGGATACAAAACGTGGAGGTAAACGTAAATTAAGCGAGCCTTCAATAACAGGTACATGTATTTGAGAAGAGATACATGGAACAAGAATAGCAGCTCAGGCCTCATATGAATCACGTTAAAAAAAAAAACGCGATTACATATTGAAAAAGTCAACACCAAAGTCAAAGCAAAAAAATGCTGTGAAATGAATGACTGATTTAGGTACCTATTACTGATATAATTATATTTCAAATGCTATCTAAGCGAGTAATACCAGGCACTCAATGAATTCGATACACCGGACAACAAATTACCAATTCTATCTGTACAAGTATTACCCCCCGCCCAATGACTCCGACTCACCAAGTCGTTTGTTGAGGAAGAACAGCAGGTAGAGCATGCCGACCAGGTTGAATGTGAAGCTCATGGTGGCTCCGACGACGTCCTCGGGGATGGGGTAGCTGACCTCAGAGGCGTATTCGAAGAGGAGCGGGGAGGCGGCGTACGTGCAGCAGATGGCCACCAGCACCGCGCAAAACAGGTGCACTGGCGGACGGAGGGCACACAGCGATCAGTCAGGGAGGGTGGGGGTCATGGGCACTGAGAGAGGGTGGGGGTGGACCGCTACTGGTGGGCGGGCGATACAGCGTTCAGTCAAGGAGGGTAGAGGTACAGGGTGTCCAGAAAAACGGATACTATTATTATTTGCTGTAATTCCGAAAATAAACGCCGCACATTTCAAACTGGCACATGCTTGTATTCGTAAAAATATGGCAAAACAGACAGCAGGTGCCACATGACATATAAACCCTTTGGTTAGTCGCGGCAGCTCCTCAAAGCAGATACTCAATGTGAGCGGCCTTCCGGCGGATCAGCTCCAGCACTAGCACGGTCTGCAGGTGACTGATGGTCATGTTGACCATCTCGGAGGGCAGACAGACAACTTCCCAACGACGCATTACAGTGCTCATGAGTTTTGCCAAATCTTGCACTATAAGCACGTGAAGTTGGAACAAAATCGGCACGTGCGTTAATGAATGCGACTTAATTTCCGTAGTATCTTTTTTTTCTGGACACCCGGAGGACCTGTCACGGCATTAGTGGACGGAAAGCGCAGGGAGCGCTCGGTCAGTCGGTCGAGGGGATAGGGGTCTATTCTGGTATTGGTAGACCAGCCGCCATAAATTTCAACAAAATGCGGTGGTCAAAAGCTAAGACTACTTCTATCTTAGAAATCTCAGAACAAGTCCGGCGAAATGGAAGAACACACATATCACCCAATATCCAAACCCAGCCTCTATAAACCCGACCTCAGCCCACGACAGAGGCCACGCCTTTCCACGGCGCCACTAACCGTTGGAGAAGGGTGCCCAGCCGGCCACGATCGCCAGTAACCAGCACCAGTGGGCCAGGCCGACCACCAGTAGGCCGATGATGGTGGCCTTGATGTGCCCGCGGAACATGTCCGTGAGGCGCGCCACCACCAGCGCGAACGCGCAGCAGCAGATGCCCGCCCACATACCCATCATGCTCGCCTCGTTCTGAAATACGGGGAGTGAGAGAATGGTGGTGAGCGTGGGGCGGCGGCGACGCGGGACTTGTCGACATAATGGCGATCGCACCGAGATATTGACATGAAAGTGCGGTATGACCGAGTCGCCAGAATACAGCACGTTAGTGAGACACCAGTACATTTCGGTAGACAGACAGATGGATACGATGCAGATGGCGGCACTGTCGACAAATCTGATCAGCTTCTACCGCAGACGCAAAAAGAGGCCAGAACGTGACACCAACACCGCTACCAGTGAGTTCGCAGTAGAAGCGATACCCGATAACATATATATGATCCTAAGATTTATCGATTTGATTTTCGTTCGTCATAAGCCAACTACATCCCTTCACAAGTACTTCAGTGTTCTGGCGTTTCCAAAGGTCGGGCGCACGATCGTACCTCAGTGACACCCAGAGGGCGCACGTTGATGTCCAGAATGCCGAACCAGGCGCCCATCACGCCCTGGGACAGGCTGTACGCCAGCACGATACAGATGAGGTCCGGGTGTCTGCCGAGGGACAAACACAGTCAGTGTCAGATCGGAGTCGCGACAAGCGGAGACAGGGCTAAAAAACAGGTGTGCACAAAACGGAGGTTCACTTCCGCAGTGGAAAACAACTTACGACTCACGACTGACATCCGAATTACAAGTACACATCTTGTTCCACTCATGGCATTGCAGAATTTTAGCTTTTATAGTTCCGTAACCTCCCTCAGAGCCCTCTTACCTAGCCCGTCCAGAAACCCCCCTAAATACCATAACCACTCTCTCCCTACTAAGATTCTGATTTGAAGCAATCTCGATCTTCCACTCTGTACCGACACGCAGTCCTTCAATACCGAGGAATGAATTATGAAGATACCCTTTCCAGTTACTCAGCTAAATGCCATCCCCAGTCCCAGTTCAAAGTTTGAACCCTACTCGGTCACTCGCTCTACAACACACATTCCAACAGGCGATTTCCGCCGAATACCCACCTGACGGCCATGCCCAGTCCCCTGTGAACCCCTGTTAAGTCTAAACCGAACTCGGTACCTCACTCTAGTCTATACCACACATTGGTTCAGCCGATACTTACCTAAATGCCATGCCAAATCCCTCACGGAAGTTTAAAGTTTGAGCCCCACTCGGTACCCCGCTCTAAACCACACCTTCACAAAGCCAGTCCCTGCCGAATACGCACCTGAAGGCCATGCCGAGTCCCTCTCGGAAGGTGACGGTGTTGGTGGAAGCAGAAATGGACGGCGGCAGCGGCGGGCGGGACGGAAAGTACGCCAAAGTCATGACGAACAACACCAGGCAGATACCGGCGTCTGAGGGCAGACGATGGGACTGGTTAGCAGGCAGAAAACATCTTGCGGTATGTCAAATACTTTGCATGGATAAAGAAACCTTAGACCACGCCGGTAGAGAAGGGCTATAAGAGAAGAAAATGGCTTAGACAATCATGACCGTCAACAACAGCATACGTCGATTTGATTTCTATAGGCTGGTTATAGGGCTTGAACATTGGAATAATGAAAGGGCAACAGTCGGTCAGAAAAAATAACACTTCCGTTAAGAAGCCTTGACCAAACTCTTCTAGTTCAAGGCCTACAAACACCACAATCAGGCCTTTCATGCCACAATCTGTCCCATATCTCCAGCAGACACACATGGAACCGGGGCGAACATAGTGAGACAGCACGCAGGGGGATCTGGCGGTCAACAGACCATCCTCTGTGTATACCAGTGACACAGCGCCGCCCCTCGTTCACCCTGAGTGTCTAGCGTGTAAGTGGTATAATGGGAATATGAAGGTGCCCCGATCATACAGGCTGATATCACAGACCCGGACTGCGGCGATGGGACAGTCCCAAAGGTCTGTAAGAATAGGCCGACGTTTGTAAGAAGGATGGTCGAAATATGGTTGAAACAGGATGCACACACATTACACAATACAGCAAATAAGGACAGGAATCATGGGCTGAGTAACATGGACAGAATTGTTACAATTCCAAGTTAAAGAGTGTATAGATACACCAGGAGGATGTATTTTAGCAACCAGAAAACCAGACAAACCAGCTCACTCACCAGAAAACAACGCCCACTGTCAGAGACTAGAGCCACCCATCGCCAGCGGAGCAACGGCCGCAGTGCCGGCTCTACCCTTAACCTATATGACAAATGAATCCCGAGAAGATATGCTCGAGGACTACCCCAAAAATACCGCCCTTCAAGCCGACATGATGTCGGGTACAAAGTGAAATGGTTAAGTTGGTGCGTTGGGTCCAAATCTGTCACAGAGACCGGCAGATCAAACCGATCCCTTAATTTTGCAGACGCATGTATAAACGAGCCTCCTTACCCCGGTAGACAGCCAGGCAGACCGACTACCGATTTTCAGACAGCCGTTTATACATGAATCTGTGGATCCGAGTTTCTGGAACGGCCGGGCAGACCGATCCTTCCACTGCGATCCAGCGACACACCCGGCCGCGTCCAATGCTAGAGCCCAACTCCCCGCGCACCGCCGCGACCTAACTCGACTACAGCTCGAACCACGTGAGTCAACCGGCCAATCCCGAGGCACGCGTGCCCCTGAACGCAGGCTGTGCCGCAGAGCGGCGCGGCGGCTCTGCTCGGCGGCCGGCTGGCGAGCCCAGCGCCGGCACGGGGTACATGATGCACACAATACACATAATAAAAGAAAACACTTCTTAGGCTAAAGTAGCAAACCTTAACATCCTCCCCACCAAAATGTGGGAACAAAAAGTTAACACATTTTCGACACTAGTCACAACGCGCGCACAAATCACAAACAAAACACACATCACGGCACTGGCCGCACGCCAACTTGCGGCAGTCCTTTTGGGCCTGGTCAGGCCTTCCGCAGCCGGCCATGGGTCCTTGAGCCGGGGGGCCAGCGTCCTCGGCTACGTCCTCTTCTTTCTCCTCTTCCACAGACGTGGGAATGCTGTGAAAAGAGACGGTGCCTCCAGTGGGGCAGTCGTCCTCCAGCTCCGGCTCCACCTCCATCTTGCCTCGTCGTTCCTCCAGCGGCGCCGCAGACGTCGGCTCTTCGGAGGCGGCTGCCGACGGTCTCGCGTCGGAGCCGACAGGCATCGGCGAGGCCGCCGGGGTGCTACAGCACTCCATTGGCTCCGGTCCGTCTCGTCCACGGCAGATGATTGGACGAACTCCACAGGAACATGCGATGAGGGCTTGAGACCCTGACTCCGGGCGACAGCCCAGGAGTCGCGTTTGCCTGGCGACAGCCCGGCGCCGCCATCACCATTTTGTTTTGTGTCATCATTTGACCCCTTGACAGAGAGAGTCGTGTCTCCACCCTTAGTAGTCATCGTTTTATGCAGGTCGTCACCGCTCAGGTGAGGCTTTTTTGCATTGAACAGCTCTTGCTGCGGGGTTCCCGCCTTTGCGGAACCATGATCGGATGGTGGACGCTCATCCGACTGCATCGTCAAATTCATCTCATTGGAACAGCCCACAGGCTTGTCCCAGTGTGGCTCAGGCAGCATGCCATCCACATCCATGGCCTCATTTTGGCCGACCCTCACTTCATCCAGACTCCTCACCTGTCTCAGCTGACAGTGGGAAGACTGGTGACCGGTCGGTATCAGCGAAACGTCGCCGCGGTACCCGTGAATGGCGTAGCCAAAGACAGTCTCTATGGCTCTAAGCCCTTCTTCAAGTTCCACCTGTCCCCACAGCACGATTCGATAAAGATTGTCGAGGCCGATCAATACATGAACTTCGCCACCACCAAAGTCGTCGGCCAGATCCAGACCGGCAGGAACAGGGGGTGGCGAAGAGGTGGGAAGGGGCGAGCACAGCTGATCTGTGCTCCACATGTCAAGTTTCAGAGAATAGTCACCAAACAGGCTTCTGAGCTCCACCTGTACCTTGTCGTACGAGCGAGCCTCCTCAGCCTTCTCCTGAAATCCGAGGCAGGCAAAGGTAGCCGTGCCGGTGCTGGGAAGACCGAGTTCCTCTGCCAGCGAGCTCCTGATGTAGGAGGAGTCGGACCCTCCGTCTAGGAGGATACGGACCTTCCGGCTACCCTTGGGTCCCACAGCGTTTACGAGAGCCGTCTGGAAGAAATGTGCTTTCTCATTTGCCGTACTGGCACTGTACCGGTGGCGACTCTGCCCCGTGAGTTCACTTGGGCTGCCATCAGGGCGCGCCACTCTGTCAGTAGGATGTGCTGGAGAGAAAGGTACAGCCCCAGGCGACAGTTCCGACTGGTTGCTGGGTGAATTCGATGGCGAGGGACGATGATTGTGGAGCAGGGGGTGGTGCGGCCCGCCACACTCCGTGCACCAACTGCACTTGCAGTCCCGAACCTGATGTCCATACTTCAGACACCGAAAACACGCCCTCACTGCCTTCACAGTCTCCCAACGGGCTTCCAGATTGAAGGTTTGAAACTTGTCACACCTCTCTAGACCGTGCTGCGCCTGCTGACAAACAGGACACATCACGGTCCTTGGCCCGTGAGGGGGCCTCTGCTTCTCAGAGCCGGGCTCTCGCCGCGCAGTGAGAATGCTTGTAACAGACTGAGTGGAAGCGGACGGGGCCACGGGTCGTGTCTGCACCATTGACACCCCTTTTGCTGATTCTCGGAGCCGTATTTCACGGTTGAGGAAGTGTAGAAATTCCGTAAAGTCTCCACTCTCTCTCCTGACCCACTCTAGACGCCAATCCTCAGGGATCTTATCCTTAACGACTGGCAGCAACAGACTCGAAAAGCTTTCTGGGTGGACGCCAAGTGTACTGAGCGCTCGAGTACGCGCAGACAAGTGATCGATCAATGACCGCATGCCTTTAAGGTCGCCGTGTCGAACGGGTTGCAGGTTCAGGAGGTCACGCATCAGTGTCTCCCGCCGCACATCATCCCGTTCAAACCGCTCCTTGAGCGCGGCCACGGCCTGAAGGTAGCCGTCACTCGACACTGGAATGCCCTCAATGCAGCGCAAAGCATCACCTGCCAGGTGCGATTTCAGTACCACGAGTTTCTGGACAAGAGCGTATCCTGAGTTGTTGTGAACAGATATGGCAAACAAGTCCCAGAATTCAGACCACTGCATTACGTCACCATGAAAAATGGGAATTTTCACGGTGAGGGACGTTTTGAAGTCTGCGTTTCCCGCGAAGTTTGAAGCGTCAACCCTGACTGGCGCTTGTTCAGCTTTCTCAAGGCGAGAAAGGAGGCGCGAACCGAGAAACATCTCGTCCTCAAGAATCTGCAAGTGGTTGGTATCATCTGACTGATCCAGCTTATCCAGGTCACCCTGGACACCCTCCATCTCATGGCGCAGCTTCTCCAGGTGGTGAAGCTTGAGGGCAAGCTGGTCAGGATCCACCGTCGTACGATCTGCCTCTCGATACGATCGGAGGTCATTACAAAGCCGGGTCGCCTTTGAGCGGAGTCTGGTTCTGGTCGCCAACAAATCCTCCATGGTTCAAAGCTAGGCCAAATTGTATGCCAAGTATTTAAAGTGGACTGTATCAAACAACTTAGACTACAAACCAATCCAACCGACTGATAACAACACAGCCGACCGGACCGTGTCAAACAAAACTAGACCGGCAAACCAATTCAGCCGACTGATAACAACACAGCCGAATAAACCGTTTCAAAGAATCAGACCGAAACGTCGATCCAACCGACTGATAACAGCACAGCCGATCGAACCGACCATCCGGCCCCAGGAGGACTATGTTACAATTCCAAGTTAAAGAGTGTATAGATACACCAGGAGGATGTATTTTAGCAACCAGAAAACCAGACAAACCAGCTCACTCACCAGAAAACAACACCCACTGTCAGAGACTAGAGCCACCCATCGCCAGCGGAGCAACGGCCGCAGTGCCGGCTCTACCCTTAACCTATATGACAAATGAATCCCGAGAAGATATGCTCGAGGACTACCCCAAAAATACCGCCCTTCAAGCCGACATGATGTCGGGTACAAAGTGAAATGGTTAAGTTGGTGCGTTGGGTCCAAATCTGTCACAGAGACCGGCAGATCAAACCGATCCCTTAATTTTGCAGACGCATGTATAAACGAGCCTCCTTACCCCGGTAGACAGCCAGGCAGACCGACTACCGATTTTCAGACAGCCGTTTATACATGAATCTGTGGATCCGAGTTTCTGAAACGGCCGGGCAGACCGATCCTTCCACTGCGATCCAGCGACACACCCGGCCGCGTCCAATGCTAGAGCCCAACTCCCCGCGCACCGCCGCGACCTAACTCGACTACAGCTCGAACCACGTGAGTCAACCGGCCAATCTCGAGGCACGCGTGCC